GGGGGGGGGAGGCGGGGGGGGGCTCTGCTTGAGCCCAGGAGAGACACCGCCAGGCTAACTGGACAAGGCTGACTTTGAGAGACCAGGCATTAAATTCAACATAAGGCAACCTCATGCATTCGACCACATGCCTGGGCATGAAGGCAACGGCCCTGCCCAATTGGTGGCCCCTCCAGCAACTGCCATTTCAAGGTATACTGCCTCTGAAAATGGAGGTTCTGTTTAGCCACCCTAGCTGGCAACCACTAAACACTAACACTATGGCCATTAATACACCTCCCAGTGGCAAATTCCACACCCTTCCTCTGCTGCTCGTCAACTTCACACAGAACCCCCGAGGGAGGGTCTCTCTTGGCACTTTCTCCCCTTCCTGTTTAGTGCAGGAACACCCTGGCCATCCCCAGACCCACCAACCCTCCTGCACTGCACAGTCTGTACCCACGTTCCAGTTTTTCTCCTCTCAAGAATGGAGCTTCTTGTTTCACCACTGTGCTGACTTGCCGGGAAAGGGGGGGGGGGAGGAGAGGCTTCTTGCATGGACAAAAAGTAGGCTCTCAACTAGGGTTGCCAGCCTCCAGGTGGGGCCTGGAGATCCTCCCTGGAGAAAATGGCTGCTTTGGAGGGTGGGACTCCCCCCAAACCCCGCCCTCTCCTGGATCCACCCCCCAAAGTCCCCGGGTATTTTTCCTGGCAATCCTACTCTCGCCTGTAAACCCCAAGTGGACTGTGGCTCACGGGCTTCTGCCTGGAATGCAGGAGGTTCAGTCCCCGGCGGCATCGCCAGTGAAAAAAGGACCGGGTGGTAGGTGAGGTGAAAGACCTCTGCCTGAGACCCTGGAGAGCTGCGATAGAAGGCAGCCGCTTCCGTTGTGTGTTCTTCCGTGTGTGCCTGCCCGCAAGCAGCAATGCTTTGGGAGAGGCCGTGGCTCAGCCGCAGAGCCAGAAGGCCCCAGGTTCAATCCCGGGTACCTCATTACTGAATCCAGCAGGAGGTGATGGGAAAGACCCCTCCCTGCCTGAGACCCCGGGGAGAGGGCGGCTGCCAGTCCGAGTGGGCAGTCCTGACCCGGATGGACCGAGGGCCTGATTCAGCAGAAGGCGGCTTCCTGTGTGTTCAAGCGCACCGCCCGGGCAGCGACTTCCATCCAGGGCAGCGCAGTGGTGACGAGTGGGCAGACTAGTATCTGGGAGGCCCCGTGGCACATGCAGCACGTTCACTGGACTATCCAGTCGGGGGGCTGCGTGTTTTAAACGCTGACTTGCATGCCCCTCCAACTGCGGATGCCCTGTCCGCCCACCCAAGCCTTCCCTGAGGGAGGGGGCTCTAGCGACTGGCCCCTCCCTCCCTCCCTCCCCCTCTCCTCACCTCCTCCTTCACCTCCACAACCTCCTCCTCTTCCTCCTTCTCGGGCTTCTTCAGGATGCCTGGCAACTCCTGCCCTGCCTGTCCGGCCGGGCCTTCGTGCGCCGCCACCTTCTTCCTCTTCTCCTCCTCCTCCTCCTCCTCCTCTGCTATTGCCACCAGGGCCCCGGGGGACGCGGCTGCTGTACCTGCCCCATCCGGAGGGCCCTCCCGCTCCACACGGGGCTTCTCCTCCTCCTCCTCCTCCTCCTCATCGCGGGCAGGCCGTGGAGGGGGCGCCTCCGGCACGGAGGACACCGGGAGGGCCGAGGTGCTGCCCGGGAGCAGGAGGGGTGGCGCCAGCAGGGCTTTGGCGGGGGGCGAGGGGGGCTCTTCCGCCTTCATCACCATGAGCGCCGCCTCCTCCGGCGGGTGGAAGGCCTCCTCATCGACCTCCATGAGAAGTCCTGCTCCTTCATCTTCCTCCTCCACCAGCTTGGGGGGTTCCTCCTTCCTAGGCAGCAGCTCGGGGGGCTGCTCGTCAGTCCTGGGGGGCAAGGGGGGCGGCAGCCCCTCCTCGTCCTCTTCTGTCAGGCCTTCCTCCTCCTCGTCCTTTTCATCCTCTGTCATCCCTTCCTCTTCGTCCTCGTCAAACTCCTCCTCCTCCTCCTCTTCGTCCAGCTCCTCCAGCTCTTCCTCGTCCAGCTCTCCCTCTTCCTCCTCATCCAGCTCCCCTTCGAACTCTTCCTCCTCCTCCTCCTCCTCCTCGTCAAACTCTTCTTCCTGGGAAGCCACCACAAGGAAGAAGCCAAAAATGAGAGATCACGGGAGGAAGTGGAAATCCAAAAACAACACCCGTGACAAAAAACGAAGAGTCAATAAAGATGTTGCAAAATCATTTACTGTAATAATTCTGTAGAAAATACTCTTGTTGCCACTCACACACTAACGAATGCTGCGCAATGTAAACAATCCGTTTCACAATATTTGCTTTATCTGAGCGTGCAGCAATCCCAATTCTTATCAATTACTAATCAACCCTTGAAGGAAGCATTCCATGCTGACTCTCTAATAACAGAACCCCAAGGCCTTCACAGTGCCACAAGGAAGAGACCGTTGTTCCCACTGAATGTTCTCTGGCTGCCAGTCTGAGGGGCAGAAAGAGCATTCCCCTCCCCCCCCCTCCCCCCAGCCTCGTCAGAAGCTCAGACGGGACTTGCAAGAGGCTCTGCGCTCCTTGCTAGGGAAGGTCCTTGACACTCCGGGAAGGGCAGCTGCATCCGCCTGGGGGCTCCTGGGAGACGGGCACAGCTTGAGCCCCAAGAAAAGCCTCCGGGGACGAGAGCACGCTTCCTCAGGCGCAACGGAGGGGGAATGCCAAGGGAGGATCCCCGAGGCGCATCCGACCAAGGGGTGCCCCTCCCCAGAAGCTTCTGCACGCCTCAAAAGAGTGGCCTTGGCCCGCCACCCACCCACCTCTTCCTCCTCGTCAAAGTACTCTTCGTCCTCAGGGAAGTCTTCCTCGTCATCCTCCTCCTCCTCCTCGTCTTCCTCGCTGCTGTTGATGTTAATGACGGTGGGGGTGTCCTCCTCCACCAGGGCGGGCAGGGAGGCCTCGCTCACAAGGGGGACGGGGGAGGGCGGGAGCACCAGCGCCGCCGCCGAGGGAGGGAGCGAGGGGGGCCCCAGGGGAAGGGGCACCGCCGGCTCGGCCAGGGCCTCCTCCAAGGCTGGCACCGGGGGAGAGGCTGGCACTGGGGTGGGAGGGGCTGCCGGAGGCAAGGGCGGGGGTGCCGCCGGGGCGGGGGCTGGCACCGCAGCCACCACGGCCGCCATGCTCATGCTGTTGACCATCTTCCCCAGCTGCCCCTTGGGCACGATGACCACGCTGTCGTCAGAGTCGCTCTCGAGGGAGAGCTCCACGTCCTCCTCTTCCTCCTTGTCGTAGTGGATGAAGACGGGGCGCCGCAGCTTGGCTCCCGCCGCCAAGGCCGCCGCTTCTGCCGTGCCGGGGGACGCCAGAAGGGCGGGCTCCTCGGGGGTCAGGCGGGGGGGCAACTGGCCCAGGCTCAGGCCGGGCAGGGGCAGCCCCAGGGAATTGGCCGAGGTGGCCGCGGAGGGGGGCGCCGAAGGGGAGCCG